GGGTGTTATAAACCTAATGTCTTCTGCAACCTTTTTTACTAGTGCTCATATTGCAATTTTTTGCTGTTATCATTGCATATTTTTACCAGAGGTCATATTGCAATTTTTGTTGTTATTATCACTTTTCTCTGGCACTCCTTATTACTGGTTCCCATATTGTATTCATTTCTATGCTTGGTCGGCTCAGAAGATTTTTGTGGCCTAGCGTATGTGTTGATTCCTTAAGTTTACGAATTTTCCAATGGTGTTCTTTATCTATGATCTCAACCTGATCCCACAGAAATATAGACAGATACCGAAGAATTACCATGAAAATATTTATAGAAAAGACACAGAGAAGCTAAATTATAGAAGTGTGAAAGTAACGAAAGCCGAAATGCCAGGTCAGGATCAAAAAAGATTGCAAATTCTTCTCTCTACTTTAAAACATTTAAGAAAAAGTTAATCAGAACAATTTCTGTGAAGATATTTATAGGAAACACTCAAATAGGCTATTTTTAACATTCCAGTTAAAATTGTTATCTGAGCAGAAAACATTTAATACTTTTTTCCTTTTTTTTTTTTTTTAAATAAAAAAAAAAATTGAATCCAATATAAATTTTTGACTAGTGTTTTTTCATCTTATTACTTTTGCTTTTACAACAAAGTCATAATAGTCTTGGATGCACGAAGGTATAACAGATAGCATCTTGGAATAAGAAATCAGAGAGCAAAGTTCAAATTCCAGTTGAGTTTGTCACATTCACTTACGTGCAAACATACTTGGGAATGGTATGGAACCATGTTCTCTCACCCCACCCCACAGCTATAAGTAAATAACCATAATAATTACCAATGTTTCATCTAAAGAATTCAGGCAACTTAAGATTATTACTACTTGGTGATCATTACAGAACAGTTTTCTTTTATTTTTCTTTGCTCTTTTTTTTATTATTTAAAATGCCTGTTTTAATGGCTACTATATATGTCTTACTAGCAGTAGAGCCCGGCGTTGCCCGGGGATATAACAGTAAGAGATAGATCAAGTATCCACCATCATAAAGACTGAAAAATAAAATTGACAAAGATTATTGTTTAAGGTTGACGGACACGCATGTCTTAATTAGTTTTTTTTTTTTTTTTTTACGAATTGGTCAAACCCAAACTCAAACAAAAACATTGTTTTCAATCGTTATGAGTCTCCCGATTGAATAGAATTATAAATAATTGTCTTGTAAATGGAATTTTTAAAGCATTCTGAATGTTAAAAATAAAGAAAAAGTGTGCAAGAGAATAAGAAACACTACCTGCAAAAAAAAAAAAAAAAAAAAAAAAAGTGAAGTTTTGTTTTATCGGCTGAAAAATATAGGAAATCCGCTCCCATATTTAAAGGAACCCACACACACAAACAACCCGATGTGAGTTGTCCCCCTTCCATTTTCACGATGTCTCTTAATCGTGTTTTCAAATTGATTTTGTGCAAAAACAATTATATTTTTCCCATTTTTGGCATTGTTAGAACCACCACAAGGTAATTTTACGTAGTCCTGTGAAGTTTTGTTGAAATCGGTTGAAAAATGTAGAAAATCCGATCCAATATATAAACGTTACAGACACACACACAATCTGCATTTTATAATAAGTAAGATTGATTGTAACATTTTTCCCAGATACTACACTCTGATCCTAGGCTAAAGTAATCATCTATATGTAAATTAACACATATTTTAATCGAAATTGAATAATGCAGCAAATTAAAAAAAAAAACCTAATGTACAAAGGCTTTTCTGTTTGTATACACCTCTCCCACACACAGATATTCAAAGAATGGTAGGTTGATAATCTTCCATTAAGTCCAGTTCATAAAGAGATAAGAAATTGTAAAAAGGGAGAAACACAAAGAGAAACAATGACATCTTTCTTACAACAGCAGCTGAGAAAGAAACAAAATTGCCTATCAAAAGATGACATTGCTCTTAGACTTAACAGTTTCACAAAGAAGATAAAATGTCATCTTGACCTCAATGACGGATCTGAAGGTTAGCTCAATGGTTAAGCAACAGGCTGAAGCTTAGCTCAATAGTTAGGCAACAGGCCAAGGGTTAGCTCGGTGGTTAGGCAACAGGCCAAGGGTTAGCTCAATCATTAGGTAACAAGTTGATGGTTAGTTCAATGGTTAGGCAACTGGATGAAGGTTACCCCACTGGTTAGGCAATGGGCTGAAGTTTAACTCAGTGGTTAAGTAACAAGGTGAATGTTAGCTTAATCGTTAGGTAACAAGCTGATGGTTAGCTTAATGGTTACGTAGCAAGTTGAAGGTTAGCTCAATGGTTAGGCAAAAAGTTAAGTTATTTCAATGGTTAAGCAACTGGATGAAGGTTACCTAAGTGGTTAGGAACAGGATGAAGTTTAGATCAATGATCAGGTAACAAGTTGAAGGTTAGCTTAATGTTTAGGTTACAAGTTGAAGATTAGTTTAATGGTCAGGTTACAAGTTGAAGGTTAGTCAAATAGTTAGGTAAAAAGTTGAAGGTTAGCTTAATGGTTAGGCAACGGACTGAAGGGTAGCAGTAAGAAATAATCTATAATATCATTCTCTGTAATGTAGCTACCCAGTGCCCTTTTTATAAATACTTTCATGGCAATTGTTCAGATGAACTTTCCACTATGATACCTTGACTTTTTGAATTTAAGTACAGTACTAGGTTGGCGAGCAAGGTCTCATAATTTTACAATTAAAATGGCTAAATGTAACCATAAGTTCTATACTAACAGTTTCTTCTTTCACACTTCTGACTTGTGGAGATGTTCCAGCTTCTTGATTTACAGTCAACTGTGATGTTCAAAAATTTAAATGCATACTCAGTAATACCTTGCATCTTAGTGACTTTATTGCTTTGCTTGAAGTGAAACGATAAAAAACGATTCAATTTCTTCCCAATATGAAACAGCTGTATATTTGTATATATCTACCATTCTTAAAGGGGTATAAAAATCATAACAAGTCTCTTGAATGGCTACAGGATCACAAAGTGAGAGGATTCTTTAATTCAACCAATTTCTTGCTGAATTAAGAGGGTGATCCTGCCATAAATGATATTTTGATTATGACTATCATTTGAGAACTTTGAAAGAAAAAGAGAAACAAAATTAATGAATGAAAGACAAGAATAAATAAAAGACGAGAATGAAGAAATGAAAAATAAAAACTTCTCAGCATAGAAATTTTCATGAAGCCTAAGTAAAAACAAAAAAAATTTGGATGAAGCTTATTAAAAAAAAATTGTTTCCCCGAAGCCTATTTAAAATAAAATATTTAAAAAACAAAGGAAAAAAACAAGAGATGATATAAAGAAAAAAAACAAAAAAAGAGAAAGTCAAAGATTTGTTAAGGACAAAGTAGAAAGAAAAGAAAAACAAATTTCAAATATAGAAGCAAGGAGTTTGAAACTAATTTTATCAACCATTTGTAAAGAAAGCAGGTCCCAGAAAATTAAATGAAATTGAAGTATGGCTCAATTTTAGAGCCAAGTCAAGTTTACTGTCATAAACCAAATTGATATTTTTTTAAAGGTTCCCCCACCACACTTGTCTATTTCCAGTTTTCTGCTTGCTCAAACCAGTTTGAAAAATTCAATGACAAGTTAAGCTTGATTCAACTTAACTGAAGCAAAATATTTGCTTAATTTTCTAGCATCCTTGCTTCCAGAACCACGTTAGATTATCCATTTTGAACAGAGGTCATATAAAAATACTTTAATTATGTACCTCTAACCTATTAATAATGTACATCTCATAACCTTAAAAACCTTAGGACTGTTAGAAACTTAAGAAAATATTAAAGTCTTTTGTAAATGTCTTGACAGGCTTGCCAGAATTTAAACATATTCAACATAGGCTTTATGAAGAGTGAGCAATACTTAGTCATTGCAAAGTGAAGCATTCCTTGGTCTTGGGTTGGAATATGGGACATACAGTGTGGTGGTAAGAATGCTGCATACACTTTTATTCTTATATAAGTATTCAGCTTTAAGCTGGGCTGAATAGCTGCCCAAAATAAGGAGAATTTTGATGACTTCTGTTTGGCCTATAGATGTGCAGCTTGCTTCTAATTTTGGCCAGATTAAAAGACATGTTAGAACACTAGCTGTTAGAAAAAGAAAATCAGTGACCTGCCTGTATTTTAGCCAAGATGATGTTACATTAAATAAAAATGTGTCATGATGATGAAAAAGGTCAGAAAAAACAAAAACAAATGGATGTAAAAAGGTATTGGAGATTAAAGTTCAAGTTAAAATATCCTGGGGCCCACAAAAATATATTTGAGAAAAATATCCATATATATATGTGCTTTGCTATATTTTAAATTGCTGATAAGAAAGAGATAGAAGAGAAAAAATAGGGAAAAGAATGGAAACCATTTGGGAACGAGGAAAGAAGCAAAGGAAAGATTTATTTGATTTGTTTTTTTACAGGTTATCAACTTTCTGCCAATTATTTGATGCCAGAAAATATTTTTAGGTTGTAAGAATTTTTTTGGAGATAATAATGATTTAATGATACAAATCCTACTAATTAACCCATAGTTGGGGAGATAATAGGTTGATTCATACTTTTCCGCAGGGTATTTGGCCATAAGTGAATATCACAAACCCAGCAGGAATTGGAACTCGGCTCTCCAATTAACAATTTTGAATCATTATCTATTACACAACCACACATTTCAACTTACAGCTCCTGTCATTTGAAAGTAGCCACCCATCTAGTTATTGACCATGCCTGACATTGCTTAACTTCGGTGATCATATGGGAACTGGTATTCCAACATGATATGGCTGTAAATGAATACAACAAACCTGACTGGAGGGGGAGGGAAAGAAAGAAGGAAGGAAGTAAGGAAGGAAGTAAGTAAGGAAGTAAGGAAGGAAGTAAGGAAGGAAGTAAGGAAAAGGAAGGAAGTAAGGAAGTAAGGAAGGAAGTAAGGAAGGAAGGAAGGAAGGAAGGAAGGAAGGAAAACTTACCAGCACTCTGGATCTCTTCCAGAATAAAATAATGACACTGAATCCAATAAGCATCACCTACAAAAATAACAAACAGTTATGAAGAAGAAAATCTCACAAACAATACTTTCAATATTAAATTCACATAAAATAAAGGAATTGCTAGAAAAAAAAAACATCTCAACATTACAATTAAATTCATATTTTGTCTATATTTCTGAGATTTATTATTTAGTTTTTTATTTACATTTAGTGGGACTATTGTCCTCATCTTTAAAAATAATTTGTCTCAATTTTTCACGTTTTTTCTCTGTCTTCTTCAGGTGGTTGGAATTTTAACTGATTTTTAAAAACCATCACCGGTGTTAACATTTCTAATTCCAATGTGCCATGTTTGATGGATGTCAGTTAAAATTTTTCAGTTATAACTGCCTTAATGAATTTTGAATTTCTGAAGTCTGATCTTAAAAGAATTTTCTCACTGTGCCAAAGGCAGGTATAATTTTCAAAAAGGGAAAATTTTTTTTTAAGGAGATAATTCTGAAAAATTAGCAGGAGAACTGATAATCAAAACATGGCACGTGGAATTAAAACAGTCTACACCGTGATGAAATAAAGGGTTCAGTTAAAAAATTTTTTGTTTGAAGAAGGCCGGAGCGCAAAACGGATCCAAAAACAAATATGGCGACAAAGATGAGGACAATAGTCCGACTAATGTAAATACTGTAAATTCATATTAATAACAAAAATATTATTGTAAATAATTAGTTTTTAAACAGATGAAAATACAAAATTAGCCCTGAAGATAAATTACAAAACTTATCTCTGTAAAAGGAAAAGGAAACAATCAAGATGAACAAAACATTGATGTCTCAATAAGTCTACAGTCTAATACATGGTTATGAGAAACCATTTCATTATATAATTTTCAATGTATATGAATAATGAGGAAGTACTCTTTATGTCCATTGACAAAGCAAATGATCATACAGAAAAATATATATTAACTGCAAAATAATTGCTTTCTTTTTTTCATCATTAGGCAATGCGCTTACTGATGTACTTACATATCTTTGTTTCATTCATTTTCTACGGTTTATCAACCCTTTTCAGGTTATTTAAAGCTAGGAATTATTTTTAGATTGTATTAATTTTTTGGAGATGGTAATGGTTTAGTGATACACATCTTCTCTCCCTCAGCTATGGGTTAATTAAACCCATAGCTGAGGGGAAGAAAAACAAGAAATTATAATGTGGATATAAAGTGGAGGATAAATTCTATATTATAATCAATATATAAACAAGTCCCCCATTTTGTGACCAGAGTAGTTTCTATACATTTAGATTCCAGAGAATGTAAATAAATCTAAAAGACATGCCTGTGTAGCTAGTCAGTATTTAATTCCTTTTCTACAGCTTATTGACCCTTTGCAGGTTATTTAAAGCCAGAAAATATTTTAAGATTATAAGAGTATTTTGTTGAGATAATAGTGGTTTAGTGATGCAAGTTATACTAATTAACCCATAGCTGGAGGGGTGATTCATACCTAATCAGAATTTTATAAACAAGAAATTATAATGTGGATATAAAGTGGGGGATCAATTCTATATTATAGCAATATATAAACTGATCTCCCACTTTGTAGCCAGGATAGTTTCTATACATTTAGATTCCAAAGAATGTATATAAATCTAAAAGACATGCCTGTGTAACTATTCAGTATTCAATTGATTCATTTATTCATTTTCTATGGCTTAACCTTTTCCAGGTTATTTAAAGCCAGGAAATATTTTTACATTGTAAGAATTTTTTTTTTTTTGAGATAATAATGGTTTAGTGATGCAAGTTTTACTAATTAAACCCATAACTGAGGGAGAAGAGGTGGATTCATACCTTTCCCAATGGTATTTGAAGGTAATTGAATATAACGAACCCAACTGGAATTGGAACTGTCTGATTTTCCAATTCTTAGTCATTATCCATTACATCGCACATTTCCAAGCAGTCGCCCATGTAAGAACTGACCAAGCTTGATGCTGCTTAACTTTGGTGATTAACTGGTATTTCAGAATGATGTTGCCATAAAACCCTTACATATCTTTACCTCAAGATATAAGATACTGTTTTAAAGTGGGTATATGTAATTGCAATCCTTATAAGAATACATTCTTTAACAAGGCTTAATAGCAAATCCACATGGGCAAATGGAAAAAGGTGCAGATGTTTCTTCATTTTTGCTTTATGTATTATTGTTACTTTGGCAAATTGTTTGTTGTAAGTAATCAGTTTCCATCTACCCAGGTAATTGTTTTCCATCACTTTGAAGAATTAACTTTTGCTCATAAAATGATTAAATCAAAAAGTACTTTATTTCTAAAAGAAATACCATAACAATTATAACATCACCTTTAGAAAATAGGCATTAAAAAAATACATGTATAAAGATAATCAAAGTACAATTTGTTTGGTTGGTAGTTTTAGTTTAGTGGCATATCAACACCGCTATGGGTTATTTAATACCAAAATCTAAATATTTTGTACGCAATTTTTATTTTTTGAGATAATAATGTATTTTTTAGTGATACAAGTTTTACTAATTAACCCATAGCTGGTGAGGAGAAAAGGTGAATTCATAACATTCTCAAGAGTATTTGCACCTAAGTGAATATAATGAACCCTACTGGAATTGGAACTCAGCATTCCAATTAACAATTCTGAGCCATTATTCATTATGCCATCCACACATCCAAGCTTACAGCACCTGGTATCCCCAAGTATTTACCTACCTAGGTACCGACCAAGCTCAACATTGCTTAACTTCAGTGATCGTATGGGAATTAATGGCCATAAGACTGATTTCCAAATCTTCCTGGATTATGGGATTAACAAAATTCTAATTAATATGCATTTGATTCACCATTCTGTCCTGCATTGATTATGTTCAATAAATGATTAAAAAGATTAAAAGTTTTTCATATAAAAACTATCTTCTGTCATTTTAAGAAGAGTTTTTGCTATCTACATTTAAGTGGTTCAGTTTCCATCAAACGTCATAATTTGTTTTACAAATGCAACCTTTTCACTGAGTTACACATCAAAGCAAATAACATAACCAAGATTGTAAAAAAAGATTTGATCTCAAAAATTTAGTCCATTGCCTATCTCTAGCACCTCATTATTCCCAAATTCCTAACTTGATTACTATAAAGCTTACATTCAACTTGACCATAGAGCAATATTTTGCCAAGAAATTTCCAGCACTTAGATTTGCAAATCATTTTGATATGTTCATTCATTTACAATTCCTTCTACATAAATTACAGAAATCTTTTTTTTCTGCATTTCTGTCACATTTTTACCTTAAAATAGAAAAAGCATAAAATGCTAACAATATCGTTTATTTTCTTCCATCATCAATAAACAAAATTTTGACAATTTAAAAAAAAAAAAAAAAAAAAAGTGTGTTAATAAGAAAGCTATCACAGTAGAATAAAAGTGACCTTTTTGGATGAGGTCAGTTAAAACTAAATGCTCATCATGTCATCTAGCAAATACAGAATAAAGTTTTTGACCAACTTAATAATTCTACAAAGATGTTAACATTAGATTTCCTGCCATTTTATTTTAGAAATAAAAACAGATTATCTCCCCTTGCTGCTGCTGCTAATTTTGATCTTTATTCAATTAAGATGGAAATCATTGCTGACTTTGCTTTCTTAATTACTTTTCGGTCCTCTAAATGCTTGGCTTGTGAAATGGTAATTTGACTCTTGTGAGAAAGTAGAATTTGCAGAAAAATACTATGAATGATTCGCGAGCAAGTAGAATCGACAAAAAACATATTTAGAATATATATATGGGGTGCTGAAACGTTCTCATTGCAACCCACTTCTCAAAATCCGTATTTTCAATGACAAAATATTGGAGTACTGATTTTGGGAATAAGCAAAGAGAGCTTTTCAGCACCTCTTTATATATATGAAAAAAATGCGAATGAAGATTAAAAATAGGGAAGGGTTATGCATACACACAAATTTTATGCAGAAAAAAAAAGAAAAGAAAAGAACTTAAACTAGTTAAAGTAACTTACTGCCTGCATATGGATAGAAAATGAACTCAGCAGATATACAGAAGTAGAAAGGGATGTAGGAAACCAGACTTATTCAACCTATAGAGCAAGGCAATTCTCAAAGAATTAAACGTCCTGTCGGGATTCATTATTGGCAACCACAATCTTAACAACATAAGATATGCAAATGACAGTGTTGATAGCAGATATGGAAAGAAACCTACTAAAACTCCTACAGAAAGTAAAGAAAGGATTAATGATCAACTGCAGGAAGACAAAATGCATGGTTGTTAGCAAAAGGGATGAGCCCAAAATGCAAATTACAAATCAGAGATACCAAAATTAAACAAGTACAAAAAATTTAAATATCTGGGAAGTGTTTTAACAGAGGACTGAAAGTGCAACTGTGAAGAAAGTAGGAGTTTGTAAAAAGTGACTATTACTGCTACTAATGCAATACTCTTCGATAAAATGAATTGAGTTCTCTCAGCCAATGGTGTGTATATCTAAAAATAAATATGCTTAAATTCACCTTTATCCCTACAGTGAATGGCTAATGGCTTAGGGGTAGATTCCCCAACTGATGCCAATTCAGGCTGGGTTTCAATCCTAGCTAGAGACAACCGGACGTCTAGCCACACTGATGAACTGTGATACGGCAAAACAGTCTGTTTGTGGATGACATATATATATATATATATATATATATATATATATATATATATATATATATATACACACACAGTTAGGTGAATTGTCACAAAATCATAATATAAATGTGTATACAACATAAAATAGTTGTATACATGTGTAGGACATTATGTAGATAAAAACAGGACATTTTAATCTCTAAAAATGGATATTTTGGCATGTCATTAGCCTATCAAAGTATTAATTTGAATTCAGCATCCATAAATTGGTCTATTAATGTAGTTTATTCCTGAAATATTTAAATCTTTTCGATTTACACACACACACACACATATACATATTTTTAATTTATTTGTT